CATGAGTGAGCAACACTGACATGAGAAAGACGACGCCATACAATATGGCTGACCATGTGAGGGGTGTTAGCCAGCTGCAGGCAGCCTTAAAAATTCCAGTTTCCAATTCCAGTCAGAATATCAACACACAATATGATTTAAAAACACACAGCTACAGAAGAAAAAAAAAGAGATTAGTTGTTCTGATCATCACTCTAATATGCTTAATTTCTGAGATCTAACAACGAGGCAGCATCTGAGGACCACAGACTGCACTTGGCAACCGCACAAATGATCTGACAGGGTTTCAAAAAGCCCCCAGTGTAACCATAGTCACTAAACCACTTATCTGCACTGAAAACAAAGGTTAGCGTCCCCAAAACGCCTATTATAATCATCCATTGAATTGTTAAGTTGCATGCACACACAACTGAAGAACGGCCGATCAAAGTTGAAGTAGTTTGAAGTAGCTCTTGAAAATTGAATAGATGTTTACAATGGGCAGTTTGGGTGACAATTTCAATGATAAGCTTTATTTTTTTTAAATTTTATTTATGTCAAATATAAGTGGTTTAGATAATTGGACTAAACTGGGGCAAACCTGTTCCATTATAAATCACTGTCAACTGGCATCCCCGTGACCCCATGTAGCACCAATAAAGCTGGTGACTAACATACAATCGGCAGCCAGAGCTATGAAAACTACTTCAGTGTTTCAGCCTCCCCTGCTAATTTTCCCCACGTCTAATGTGCACCGAGATGTGTTTCAAGTTCAAATTTGAATTACAAAAACTAAGTTAGCATGGAGAAAACTGAATCTGCATTATGCTTAGCAATTTAAAGTTCATAATTTCTATTAATTCAACAAACACCACATTTCTTAAATCAGCAGTTTTATGAGATGCAGAAAAAGAAAGTCCAAATAGAGCACGTGTTGGCACTATAAATTGTTTAAATTATTCTATAAGAAACCAGAGGCTCAAAATACAGTTCCACCATAAATAAATCTTCATCATCGATTTTGCAAAGAAGCAATGCAATAAAAATGACAAAACAACTGTGATCTCTTCTATTCTATCGATTCTGTGTCTCCCCCTTAGTGTGTTGTTTCCATTGTTAGCGGTCAGGACTGACATGCTCGTCACTTTTGACCTACAGGTTATTAATAACAGCAGAACCTGCCCCCTCACTTTCATTTTCCATAGGTCAACAAGCTCGAGGTCGGCACTTCTGCCCTCTGTCTGTCAGTGTCTGTGTTTCTACAGAGTCAGTCCTGACTAATAACAAGAGCCAGGTCATTTCAAACCACTTCACAAGACACACATTGCTCTATTTTTGATTCATCTGTCTAGACTTGAAGGTGACTGTAAACCTGTAAATTGCTGTTTCCCAACCTCGTTATTTATTACATGAATATACAATTCACATTCTACCTGGTATAAGACATTCTTGCTTTAGGCTTGTGCATACTGTACAGGACATATTTCCCCTCTCAGTCAGCAGTCTTCTCTTTTCCCCTTTGGCACTGTAACCCAGCTTAGCAGCATTTTTTTTCTTCTGTCCTGCTCGATTCAATGGAGGAGAGGTTTAGTACTGTTAAACTTGTTTGTTGTTTGGCTGTGTCTTTGGGCTTTCCGGTGTCAGGAGATGATAATGCATCATTTACAGCAAGCTCAGAAAAGGTCAGACCTGCTTCCCAGAGCGCTGCTGTTCTGGTGTCATGGTGGCAGGTGTTAAGACAGTGGGTTTTCTCAGGCTCTGCTGACACACTGTTTTGTGCAGGGCTTTAGATTTTGCATTTGAGAGAGAGGAAGCCTGAGCTAATGATCATTCTGTTGACTATATAACATGGGCCATATTTTCTTTTTGCCATTTGTCTTTGAGATTGATAGTAATATATGTATATTTTCCCAACATTTCCTTACATGCATGTTTTTCTTTTTGTTTCTCCAGCTCAAACGCAGCAAAGGAAAAGCAGAGGGAGTAAAGATTAACATCAGGGAGAGGGAGGACATGTGGGGAGACAGCAAATCAGAGAGAGTGCTGGTGATCAAGCAAGCCTCAGAAATGCAGAATCACAAGATACACAAAAGAAAGACTTTAAAAAAGCAGCAACGATGTGGATGATAAAACCACCTCCTATGACCATCAGCAGAATCATTAACTGCCCCTGGCCTTGGTACAGGACATCTTCTGAGGCATTGCTTTGTTTCCCGCTCGCTTTGGGAATGTGTGAGTCAAATAAATCTTTGCATCTCTTACATTGACAACTGGCTCATTAGTAGTGTGAAAAGGACTCGATATAAACCTACTATGAATGTACTGATTGCTCCATAATTGAAAAAGTATGTATGTACAACTGTGAAAATAAACTGATCTGATCATTACAAAGAAAATACTTTTTACATTAATTAATACCCTTATATTTAGTAATTTTACAGCGTCTCCAGTAGACTATTGAAAATCTATCACTAGTATCACTGCAATAATAAAGTTCATCCACTGGCATTCTCTCTGAAAATCAATCACCATTGACATGCTTCACCAAAAACTTTTACCAGGCAGACAAAATATTTACGTATGTTTTTATGCTCATTATCTGACCATTTGTCTTCATTCAGCCTACTTCACACTGTGGGGACTGGTGGAAATACCATAACAGCAGTCCCAGCGGAGTAATGCGGGGTGCCTATAACTTTTCCATTATCTGCTGCACATTGTTTTCCTCCACCAAATAATAACAAACATGAATGAGGTGAAAGGAGACACAATTAGCCGACAAACAAGGCAATCAAAACCGAGACAGCATGTCCTTGTGTGGCTATAGAGCGTTCAGTATTTCTTTATGCCATTATCTCCAACACAGTCTGTTTTAGGCAATTCAAACACAACTATGTTTTTGAGCAGGGAACCATCACGCAGTGTGTGCTTATTGGTGCGTTTGTGCTCCATCAACAGAAAAACTCAAGGTTGAAGATTAAATGCGGAGGCACTTTGGTGCTGTGCCACGTTCAGGGACATCGTGCACAGATACAGTGACATCTCTGCAAGATGTGAGTAATGTGTCCTTATTTAGAAAAGGCTGTGCACTGCATTAGTGACAGAGCAGACAGAAAGCTGTTAGTTAGTAAGAGCTCAGTTTTGGACACAGCGCTGGCCTACTAACCCACGACAAGACAGTATGTGACGGATGGATAATGACAAGAAGAACAGTGTTGCAGGTTAATCAGGCAGTGGGTGTTACTGGTTTTAGCTCCAGATGGGAGAGAGATGAAGTCAGTCAAAAACTAAAAAAATCTGTACCATCAGTGACGTCCTAAATCGACTTTAATCACATCTTATCTATTCACTTGATCATTTTGATAAAACACACACTCACATATGTGTGTCTGAGTGTGTGTTTGTGTGTGTGTGTGTGTGTGTGTTGTTGCATAAAGCTTTTGAAATATGAGAAGTGTGTGTGTGTGCAACAAAAAGAGGAGAACCCCCAGCAGCCCCTAAAACCTGTCCGACTGTGAGAGCTTAATTTATCATGCAGAGGCAGCAGCTGCACCTCTTCCTACTTTCCTCTCTGACACACACGCGCGCGCGCGCGCACACACACACACACACACACAGCCAAATACTGTATCATTGTTTTGGTGTGTAATGTTTATATACTAGATAAGAACGTTTGACAAAACATTTCTGTTTTCACTTTCATGGACATTTCTAGGAAACCAACATAAAAGTAAAAATTACAACCCTACGCTGTAAACTGTGCTATAGGTCAATACATATATGTATTTCTATCATTTGTGATTGTATGCAATGTAATATTGCCTATAGGCTACTTTTACAGTTAAGATGCTGAAAATAATTTGAGGAAGACTAACAAGGCTAGCTGCAATCATTTGGTGGATAAATGCCACTTTTGGCGGTGACGGATGAGTAAGACAGTCGATCCACTCACATCATGAAAGATAGTAAGCCCTTGTCCGGCGGTGTGCAGCGGCTGCTGCTGCTGCTGAGCCCGAAGATGCTTCTGTTTGGCCGACTGCAGGCACATAGTGATCATCTCCGTACAAGCCAGCATCTTTGAGACGAGTCGAGACGCACCTTTGGATCGCTCAAACTGTTGACGGGAAAAAAAAGGTTGAGGTAAAGTAACGGGCTGAAGGTCTTGGAGGAGAGGCAGAGGCTGCTGCAGGTGTGACAGATACCAAGTGAAGCCAAGCTTGCAGGCGGGGACTCAGAGATGCTCTGCAACTTTGTGGTGCGCTGCTGAGCAGAGCTGCCAGCCCCTCCTGCTGGAGCCACTGTGATTGGCTCGTTTATCTGCGCCGTGCATCTGGATCATCAAACACTTCATCACAACAACAAGCTCTCCAGCCTCTGATTTTATTTTTGTAGCCTAATTGCTTCGAAGCATGAAGCACAAGTTGTCCTATATTTAAATGTTATACGAACTTCGGAATTATAACCATAATAAAGGTGGAAGTTATTCTCTCATGAAGTGAATCTTATAGTTAAGAGGTCAAATATACAGTTATCTTAAAATAATTTGAATTCAATGTAAAGTTGAACGTTGTAAAATGTGATTTAACTAATGATGAATTCACGTCGACGGCAAGCTGTAAAACTACACCAGACCAACTGACACACACTGCCATCTGCTGGATGTTGGGAGTCACTGTTTACACCTTTTCAAAAAACACATACATTTATATATATATATATATATTCCATTATGATTATATTCCATTGTATTGATCATTATAGCACATGCATGTTATTATTAAATAGAGGTAGTGTATTTGAACTAAAGAGCTGTAAGTCTAATGAGTGTATGAGGTCTGGCCTACAGTTAAGTGGGGAAAAGAAAACAATAGATGGTGTGAACAAACTGATACTTGAAAGAGGTATTTTACAGTTTTTTTTGTCTTTTGTTTCTGTGTATCTAAATATATAAAATAAGGTAGAAACTTATCAGGGGGCAGGACGTGGGGTGGAGCCGAGAAACTCTAAAGCGAGCCTTCACAATGTTCCCCTTCCTGATCTTGGGTCAGTTTCACTTTCCGTTCTACCTGTCAGCGACCGAGAGGTCAGAGCCTGGACGCTGCGGAGAAGAGCAAAAACAAGTGGAGTGAAGTCCTCAGTAAGCTGTCATTTTCTCATCCAGCGGGATTTATAGACTACCTTTGTTACCATTAAGTCGACTAGAGGAAGTGCATGCGGACAGGACCGCAGCAACGCGACCTGAGAAGGTTGGATTTTTAAACTTTGTACTATACACTGCTCTGTTTCGTCATAACTGCGATGTTTGCGTAACACTGTGTGTGTTGACCTGTCTCTTTAGGTGTAAACATGGCTTCTGAAGTTACACCGGGACTCAATTTGAAGGAGGGTGAGCAGTTCAACTTAGTTTCGATTTTCTTATGGGGGGGAATCTAACCTAATTTCGAGCCACACATCCTACATCTTATAAATGAGGCAGCAACCCCCATTTCATTGACTTATGTCCCAATGGAAATAATCTATATATTGTGTGTGTGTGTGTGTGTGTGTGTGTGTGTTACTGTTTAACATTGAATTCTGTATGTCAGTGGATTGTGAAAGTGAGTCATTGTTTTGATTAGTCATAGACTCACGTTCTCCTGATGTCTGTGTATGTATGTGAGACTAGAAGACTACACTGACCATGCACCATATTATATACAATGCAGTGGTAACACCCATCACTAGGGAGAACTGCAGTGTGTTGATAGTAAGTCACGTGAGGGTGTGATCTCTTCCCTTCCTGCCTGTGCAGCTGAGGAACTGGCCCTCTCTCTGAGTGAAGCCCTCAGCAGTGGGGACGAACCGGAAGCTGTCAAACTGTGCCAGAGACTGGCACAGCTCTCTGTGCCAGTGTCCGTCAGAATCAGCAGTCAGGCCTACCCTCAGGACTCCATAAGGTGGGGACACAATCGTGTGTAGGCACGTGTCTGTGTGTGACTTCCTTGTTTTGGTTTCCATAACAGACAATCATAAACCTTATGAGATCTTCCCTCTTTTGAACGGCTGTGTACTGTTTGTATCTGTGTGTGGAAATCTGAAGATAAGTGGAGGTTTGATGCATATTTAAGTGGCTATATTGCAATAAGTAGAAACGATACAATGGAGGCTCGTTCTACTGTTTGGTATTTTTTATAGGTTGTGGGTTGGAGTGGAGGATGCCCAGTCAGAGGCCTACATTCCAGTGACTGTTGAGGTTTCTACTGACATGACAATTGCACAACTTAAAGAGAAGGTATGGATGTGACAGAAAACACTTACAACAGATGTTGTAACGGCCTTTTTTTTATTACTTTAACATCCATAACATATATTACTAAGTTGTTAAAATTCATCAGTGATAATTAACTGAGCCATGATCTATTAATTCTGATGTTTAACTTGTTTATTAGCTGTTTCCTTTGTACTATTATCAATCAGTATGCTATAGTTTGTGGTAGTAGGTCAATGGCCCTCTGTTAAAGTTTTATATTTTAATGTAATTCTTTATAGCATGACATGTAATTTATACTACAATTCTGTCATGTACAGATTGTTTTGTGTGCATTTAAATGCAAGGCACACACACGTTCTGTTATCATCAGTCATGATTAAAAATCTAAACAAAAGTAAAATCTAAATGTTATTGAACAAGCTGTCTGTCCCTCATTTTATCTTCACAGTTCAGCGATGACTTTGGGTTCGCCCCCGCGCTGCAGCGATGGGTGATCGGAAAGCGGCTGGCCCAGGACCGGGAGACGTTGTACAGCCACGGTGTCCGTGAGGATGGGGACAAAGTTTTTCTGTTTATCCTCTCCGCCCATGCTGCTCATCTCACACGGCAACAACACAAGCTGGACCAGGAGCAACAACGCATAGAGGGTCAGGAACACACACACACACACACACATGCACACTGTTGATTGTAACAAAGTGATGAATGCTCTCATTTATCTACCATCTATGGCTGGCCCTGAGTCTGGACCTGTGGCACTTTTCTGTGTGTCAATTATATTATTTGACAGTGTCTGCTATTTGAGACACATTTTGGTCAGTAATGAAAATATATTGAGGTTCAATAGGCTCCTTACAGGTGGACTTAACAAGTCAACTTACCGGTTACATCTGTTTTATGGAATGATATTCTATTCTTAGGTATTGTGGAGTCAATGCAGACGATGCAGCTTTTGGCCAGAGGGCTGGGCATGGGTGGTGGTGACAAGACAATTCCTCCCCCAGAGACTCAACTCACTCCTCCTCCACCTCCTCCTAAACCAGTTGTGCCTCCTAAACCTCAGGTCAGAATACAAATCTTGCATTATACATTATGTCTAGCATGTGTAGACTGTACAAGCATACTATATATACTATACCTTGTTTGTGTGTAGCTGGGCTGGGCCTGTGCTATGTGTACGTTCATGAACAAACCAACGCGTCCTGGCTGTGAGATGTGTGGAGAGGAGCGTCCAGAGGATTATGAGGTGCCCAACATCTACCAACCAGACCAGGAGGAGATTCTTCGAATTCAACAGGAAAAGCTGGCCATGTTGCAGTACGAACAGGTAGCAACTAGGATTCCTGAAATCTTTTTAGCCTTATGCCAAATTTATATCCAGATTTAACCTAACCCAGGTCACTGAGACTCATTCAAACATATACATATATCATACGGTTGTTGTGAGGCAGCCAATCGGCAATAGCCCTGCAACACAGTGCAGATGGAATCTTTGGCATCTTAGCTTTGTATTTCTAAAACTTAAAACTATGTATACTCTCAGTTGCCACATTCCTAGGCACACCTACAATCTATTCCAATTCAGCACAACAGCTCTTGCTTGTCAGAAATGTGTTAATTAAATATTTATTATTGAGGTCGTAGTTAAAGAAGGAAAGTTTTTTCCAATGTTTTGTCCTCTCTATTTACATACAGTGTCAGAATATTGGAAACATCTCTCAATATATTACAGTCCAACACAACCTGAACCTGTGAACATAAAAGCACCACCAAGTCCATAAAAACTTTGGTGAGGCTCTCGGAAACCACTAAAGCTAAAGAGAATGTAGCAGTTGTTTCACTTTCATTTTTCAGGAAACTAAAGAGTCTGCTGTTTGTAATGAGTCATAAAAAATCTGTAATGAATCTCTGTGTTATGATTGCCTCCTCCCCCTCCCCGGGTGATGAAGGCTCAGCGGGAGGAACGAGAGAGGAATTACCTGCATTTGTTGGCAACAGAGGGCCAGAAACTCATCTCCAACACCGCAGAGATAGACTGTCCCATCTGCTTCTCTACCCTGGAGCCAGGAGAGGGCATCGTGCTCAGAGAGTGTCTACACACCTTCTGCAGGTCTGACGCAGTAAATGATTTTTAGCTTTGTCATATGTTGTAAAGATGATAAGAATAATCTGTATTCTTTCTAAAGGTACAGTCTTAAAGTCTAAAATGCAGAATGTTATATGTTAAGTATTTCATTTGTTTATATATCTGTATTTTTCTTATGTGTGTGTGTGTGTTCAGGGATTGTCTGAAAGGGACAATAGTGAACAGTCAGGATGCTGAGGTGTCCTGTCCCGACGCATGTGAGAGCAAGCTCCTGGACCGAGAGATCCAAGCGGTGAGTGTAAGACTGGAAAACAAGGAAGTTTCACAAGTCACAATCTAAAAGATGAACTGGAAAATGATAACATACAAAATAAATAAATAAATAAATAAATGTGTTACAACTATGACTAGAATTGTAGTTGTTTTAGTGCACAATGATTACAAAAAGTTGTTACAATTAAAATTAGCACATTAGCTTTTGATAATCTAGACCCAGTATGTGTGTCTGCACTGTTTGGTCAGACTAATATAAAGGTTTCTTATTCTTTTAAAAATGTAAGACTTTCTGTCTCTGTGATTCCGGATACAGCTGCTCACCGAAGAGGAGCACCAGCGGTTTCTGGAGTTGCGCCTGAGCATCGCAGAAAGTCGCTCAGAGCACAGCTTCCACTGTCAGACTCCCAACTGCCGAGGGTGGTGCATCTACGAGGATGAAGTCGACGAGTTCCACTGTGAGCTCTGTGACGAAACCAACTGCATTCTCTGCAGGGTAACGTTCAGACATGTACTAGTATATTAACTGACCATGATTTTCTGACTGTAGTCATAGCAAAAGCCCCAAACATAAACATTGTGTGTGTTTGCAGGCCATCCATAATGATATGAACTGTAAGGACTACCAGGATGACCTGCGCATCCGAGCAGAGAACGACCAGGCGGCTCAGCAAACTAAGCAGATGCTGGAGGTAGGTCAACCTTAAAATTCTGTGCGATAACTTGGCACAGGAGTGGCCTCCTGGTCAGAGGGTCACAGCCAGCAGTCTGTTGCACTTTTGACAAATAAACAGTTGTGTGCTCCTTGGTGCTTGCAGATCAGATCAGAAACGTGTAACTGTAACATCCCTGCTACAGATAAATAAGAGAACACATCACTTCCTGTGCAGCACTGCAATCTTGTTATAGTGCACTACTCAGTATGCCACAAACCAGTACAGGACATTATGAAGGGTCTTAAATGCAGCTAAGTACATCCCATAGGAGGCAATCAAAATACTGGTAAAATTAAAAGTTAATGTCTTACCATTAAAAAGTCATCACTTAGAGCTTTAACTTATTTAATCTTGTCATCAAATGTTATATGATGAATCGCGAATAAAATTAGATATTTGTATTGTATTCTGGACTGGATTTGCTTCTTTATCTAAAAACTGGGAGGGCTGGTGGAGAGACTGTTTTGTTTTACGATTATTTTGAGTGCTTTCATCAGTGTGGGCTTTGTAAGTACTTTTGAGGCATTTTTTGTTTTGCCAATAGGGAAGTGTTACTTAATATTTTATAGAGTCAGTGCATGTTTACAAAATTAGTTTTCTAAATTCAGGCACTGATCCTGTCCTAGTTAGTTGTACTCTATGTTTTAATCCACATTTTAATGTGTTTGTGGCTCCAGCAACAACTCAGGCTTTAACTCAGACTGATTCCTTCGGTTTGGTCTATGCTTTCCATGAACCAAAGTGGCCAGGGTGTTGTCCCATGATCTAAGATCAACATTTTTAGGTTATTTTTGAGTTAGGTGGATGACTGTATTTGTATTATGTAACTGCGTAATTTAGCTTTTTGTGTACTTCGATGTGCATCGTTTGTACCAACAAGTGTTGATTGTCTGAATAGTTGTATTTTTGTGTTCATTTTGCCTTGTGACTACTTCACATTTGACATGCTTTTGCTGTATTTGAATACAGAGCTTGCTACAGAATGGGGAGGCCATGAAATGTCCACGGTGTGACATCATCGTCCAGAAGAAAGACGGCTGTGATTGGATCTGCTGTTTGATGTGCAAGACAGAGATCTGCTGGGTCACCAAACAAGCTCGCTGGGGCCCGAATGTAAAAGCATTTCCTTACACAGCGTTTAGTTCTGTATTCAGGTAAAGTTAGCTCATGTGTTTGAGCCGTGCATATGACTTTGTTGTTTTGTTTGTTGTATTTTACAGGGAAAGGGCGACACATCTGGGGGCTGTAGATGCCGAGTCAATAATCAGTCATGCCATCCCAACTGCCAAAATTGCCACTGAGGGAAGCACACTAATGAACACACACAGCTGCAAGTGCATGCACTGTCTTAAGAAACATAGACCTCTGCTGATGCTTAAGCTGCTGGCTACATTCATGTGGTTATTTTTCCTTACTTTAAAAGTTTAAGGTTTTTCAGTGTGCCTTGGTGTCTTGTTACTAAGGCACACCTTTCTTCAACTGTGCGGTAACTGTAGATATAAATACCGTACACATGCTATACAGACTGCCAGCTACATCTCCATAGCTGAGGATACTAACTCTGTGTGAGAAAATAAGCTTTACTGGGATCTTATGCTATAATAATACATTTTTTGTGATAAATGAATGCTTGCCATACATGTTGACCACTGGCTACTGCTTGTGTCACAATTCAGTTTGATGAGCCAGCAATGATATTCTGTTTACTTGAGTTTGGCTTCTACTCAATACACATACATTAATCAGAGAAAGACACCAGAATATTTGTCTTTTATCTTTAAAGACAAATATGCAAAAAATGGCTAAAACTCAAATACAATAAATTAAAATGTCAACAGCTAACATCTCCATAAATAAGGAAACCCTATTGTGTTTTTCTTCCTATGATCAGAATGTTTTTTTATTGTTGTAACCGGTGGTTATGTTTGCTGTTTTTGCCAAAAAATGATTGATTTGTTATCATAATTATAATAGCAGATTTTATTTCAGTCTACTTATCAGACTGCGGTGAAGGATTTCGTTTACATTGAATGAATGTGTTAGTAATGCAAAACATGCTGCTCTGATGCACTTAATAACTGAAATATCAGGTTAAATGGCACAATGGACAAATAATGATACTGTATTTTTGTAAGATTTCAGGATTTTATCTGTACGTCCTAAGTGTACAGGTATAGTATATATATAATACCTGTAATATTTTGGGCGAATACAGTCTCGTATATAAAGAAGTTAGCGTACGTATGTATAGGTAGTAGTATAACTTACTAATTTTATAGTATAATTTATATATATATATATATATATATATATATATATATATATAAAAAAATGTCCATGTCTTGTATCAATGAAGTTTGTTGAGTTTCACTAGCATGTGTTTTAGAGTGACATGCCTTAACTCTAATAAACTGGAACAACGAGCATAGCATGCTAGCATTGTAACAGAATGAAATATGTCAACAGAAACTTCGATGAACAACTTGTCTGAGCAAAGACAACTTAGTCTAATGAAGTATGGCTGAAGCTGACAAAAAGCAGCTGAATCAAATAGGATAGCTGAGGCTGATAAGCCTGACAGAGAATAGTTTAGGCTGAATAAAGTTTAGCCAGCCGTACAAGCTGAGCCTGGGATGTCTTAAAATGGCCAATTTTAGGACAGAAAAATAATTCTTAACACTAGAATAGCCATGGTGGTCATTTTTACCTTTTTCAAATTTATATGCGCAATAATTGTTAAATAAAAAAATACAATGCTACTGGTACCTGAGAATTCCTAAAAGTATCTGTATTTCCATTTAAAATGGTTTTTTTAAAATAGTAATTACACGAAAGGTAAAGAAAATGTGACCGTTCTACCTTCTAGCTCTAGTAGTTATGACATCCTAGTGTTAAATGTTCAATTTAAAGGTTCAGATGGATTTTGAAAAATATTTGACAATTGCCCTTAAATCTTAATACCAGTGTACTCCGCTGTCATTTATTATGTACATATACATTTGTTTCCACACCAATATGTAGCTGTGTCAAAATACATTGAACAGTTTCACTCTAGTTTATTAGCATTCTCTTGTACAACTTTACATTAGTATGACAGATTCATTATAACAAAATAAACATAAAAGGCAGTTAAATCAATTAGTGCAATGAAAACCACTGAGAGCAGATACATGGTGCATTACAATACTGCTGAACAACTATGCTCTCAGGCACCTCAGAGCGTCCTTGGACATGTTCCAGGTCACCTTTATTTTTATGAGTTTGTAGATTAGATACCAGCTTAAAACGTGGCTCTACAAAGGCAATAAACCAGTCAACTATAATATAGAAATGGGATGCCCAGATATTCTGTTCCTACTATAGCAAAAACAACTTGTAATTTTTTTAGTTGACTGGTTGTTGTGCCGTACATTGCAGGTGACCTTGAACTCAGTCAATAATTCTGCAGACTTCAAAATACATCTTTAAGATTACAGATGACCCACTGCCTTAAAATCAAGTGCTCTGACAAAACTATTTACTATTTTAGTTTTTTGGCTATTCTGGTGAGTGCCATACAACTGTAACTTAAACGATCTCCTATTACTCCAACTATGTGATTGAATGAAAATGAATGGAACATTGGAATGAGCTGGACTGCCCCTGAAATGCAAATGCTACACTCAAAGCAAACCAACTTGCTAAATGGCATGTGTTACAAATAAAGCTAATGTCATCTTTAAAACAGAAACATTGGATAGCATTAATTTGAAGGCTCAGGTGCTTTTCCTGATAGGAGCACCCTTACAGTAGGAGAGCGCAAACAGCCTATCAAACTAATCATAAAGTGATTTTGCAAAACAAATGCAGTCAGTGCAAACTGGGTCCCCTGCCCCCGTCCCAACACAAGGACTATAGTATCTACTTCATTTTACTTGCTATTCATCCCAGCTTTCATATTTTCTGTTACCAGGCATTGAGTGAGTCAGTGTGTTGCTGAACTATAGGAGGAGATTTAATTATCTACTCCATAAAAAGTGACGCAGAAAACCTACCCTAGTCATTTGGGGCCATGACACCCAGACACATCTTTAAGGTTACGCAACCAAACAATTAAGTGAGTGAAGTATTTGAGAAGCTCTAATAAAACGATTTCAAACGATTTAAAACATCTTACAGTTAAGTTTAGTTGACCCCAACCATGATCCAGAATTAAAACGTGTAGTCAAGGGTGACTGTTCTAAAGATACTGTGCCGCAGAAAGGAAAATACTTTTTTCTTGACCAAAAAGGCCTATTCAAACATCTTAAAGGGACAAAATAATCTAAAAAGATAGAGACCCTAAAAAGTGTCTGTGTGTCATGCCCACGTCTTTATACAGCTGCTTGCATACCTATAAATTAAAAAACAGTAAATTATACAAAGAGGATTCTAACAATCCTCTATTTGGTCTCAGTCCAGGTATCAAATAGATAACAAATGGGTTGTGACCATACACACACACACACACACACACACACTCTCATACATTCGATCCAGCTCTCTTAATTGGCAGCAGTTTCAAGTGTAGTGAGTACAACAAGCTTTCAGCATAAATCTCTGTAAGCGTAACTCAATATCAGATTATCCTAATACCAAATATAAATAAACTTTAATGACGACACCATCAGTAATAGTTCTTAGAAATACAGTCTCTCCATTATAACAGGATTCTTCATTTCAACAGTTGCTGCTGCTGTTACACTGGTGTGGGCTCTTCAGGAGTCATAAAAAAAGACCCTACATAGGATGTTTAGAAACATCATGGAGGATGAACGAGGAGCGTTAATTGGTTCAGTTTAGAGAGTACTATACACTCCAGATAGTGTTATAGACTGCACGGTTTGTGGTTTAAATAATTAGAGGGTTCTTGGAAACAGACCCACCAGTTAGATTTGGTCAAGGACAGATTTGTGGCATAGGGGTAAAATAGGAGCAGTTCAAGGAAACAAGTCCAGTTTGGGGGCCCACTCCAGGGCAGTGTTGACCACAGCGAGAGCTGCTGCCCCTAAAGCCACTGTCAGACCCATGACTGCCAGTCGAACAAACCGCCGTGCTGCTGAAGGTCGGGCCACTGCTGAGCTCGCCGCCGCGCTTTCCAGTGCAGCCTGTTTCTGTCTGCGTCGGCGACGGAGAACAGAGTCTGGTCGCTGTTGAGTGGACGCAAGGTCAAAGTCCTTAAAGGTAGAGGACGCCATGCTTAGGAGGAAAAGAGACAGATACATAGAGAGACCAAAACAGACAGAATATGAAAGTGTTAATGAAAAAACTGGAGTAACTGGAGCAGTTGAGAAGTAGAAGAAAGTGAAATATGATTATTATTGTATTTAACACTAGAGTGTGAATGCACCTGTAAAGGTAAGGTGGGAACCATGAGGGGTTAAGTACCTGTCGTGTGAGGCAGCCTCTCTAGCCAGTTCAGAGGGAGGGAACTGGACAAAGAGGTCTCCTGCTCGGCTGATGAGTGTTTCATATGGCAGATCCTGGGGAATCTGAGACAGCAAGTGATGCACCATGGCCATATCACATTCACAGTCCAGCACCTCCTCTTCTCTGTACAGTACGATCTGCAACACAAGTACCAATAACACATAAGGGCACATTTGTTATCACACATTGATAACTAAACAGGCTATTATCCATCAGAGATACAAGGACTTAGGGTGACATGTCGGAGACGTTCAGGTTAGCCAAACTTGATTTATTATTATGATTTAATATAACTGCAGTGACTTGATTTTATGGGGATATAGATAGTAATAGATCAATAAACTGCTCAATCAACAACAACTTCAATCTACCTTTACCTTTCTTAATACAGGAGAGGTTACAGTGTCATCACATTCTAGCAACCTGCACTATATCTTCAACTACAACTCTCCCAATGGAGCAACATAATAATAACAATAATAATAACAATATATCCTTAAGCTGTCACAAAGGCCTATTGTGCAGACAAGCCTCAAATAAAGAGGACACCCCCTCAAAGGGTAACTGCTAAGCCTCTGACTCACAAATCAATACATACTATAACTCAAATTGATTCAGCAGACTTAGTTCATGTACTGTAAACTAAAGTTAAGTTTCTCAATCAGTCCCTCTGGACTGCAAACTAGTGTTGATTATAGGAAGCTCACCACGGCAGCAAAGTAGATGGGCATCAATGGATGGCAGGCCAGGAAGAAGTCATACAACCGGACAACATGGCGGAAGTCTGACAGGACGTGGCCAAACCAGGTGATCAGCCAACTGAGAGCGAAGACTGTGCCCACCTCGGCCCTGAGAGTCAATCAGTACATGACAGAAATCAACTTACGTCAGCACACAAAACAGTCAAGTGTGCTCATGCTCCACTTCAGGATTAATGTCTAGCACTCAACACGAGAAATGATTAAAAATGGTTTTGCTATAGGATCTGGAACTGAGAGATATAGAAGGGAACAGACATGTCAGCCCTCCAAGCGGAGGACTTCATGACCTCTGCTGTTAAGTCTCTAGAGATGCAACTTGAGCTGTCATAATAGGATCAGTACGCTCTAAGTGCACAGTCACCCTTCTCCTTCAGTTGAGAGTGTGAGGTTCAACATTAATCTTGGTTGCTTTAAAACACTTGGAAGAAGATATTTCTATAATGACAGAAAGGTGGCAGATACAGCAAATCTGAGTATTATTGACCATCATGGAATTTATCTTTGGATTAAAGCCATGATATTGGACTCTTTGCTGAGGGGCTCTTTGCTGAACATACACGTTTGTCTGTCTGCCAATAAACCATACTGTTAATACATAATTTGTTTCTTGAAAACGTCATAACTCTGATTTTAAATGTTGCATGTCTAAACATTTCATAAATATCACTTTAACGTCAGCATTTTTTCTGTTAGGTTTGTAATTTGAAATGTCAAAGCTCATAATGGTGATGCTTGCATAATTGCAGCAGTGGCAGCAGTTCACATTAACTACCACTACCATAGATACTGTAACTCTCCTGCTACCATCTTGACAGAGATGGCTGGATTCATATAGAACAATAGTGTTTCAGACAGAAACAAAATACACTTGTTAAAGAAAATGTATTCAATTAAAAACAGCAGCCATTGGTGGAAATAATGTAGAGTAGATATAAATGATATGTGTTGGGTATGAAGCTTCTTTTAAATCTCTTAACGTCCCGCCTTAATTACAGCTAATTATCTTGGAAATTCTATTCATACTGCAAAAAGGTGCGAATGGATTTCACCTTTGGCAAAGTCTCATGTCTTATAAATAACCTCTGATGAGATGGAGAAAATAATTGGATTTGGCGTGTTATTACTAAAAAAGCAAAGAGTCTTACTGTTGCATGAAGTCATGCACTTCAGGGTTGACCCTTTCAATGATGGGCATCAAATAGTTCAGAATGTGTTTTGTGTTGTCCATGGTAGGATCCATGAAGTCCCTGAAAAAGAGCATAAAACAGAGGGCATTTTTAGAGTGCACAATAGACCATTGTTGAAGGAGGTGAAGGAGGAAGGCAAGGAGTTTTATTTTTTTATTTTTTTTTAAATCTGACATGTGGACACATAACGGAGAAAGAAAAACTGAGTAAAAAAAAGCTGCTGCAGATAAATGTATCCATATGGTGAGTACCTGAGATGATGCGTGGAGAGCTTTTCCACAAGAGCAGTTGCAAGGCGCTCTCCCAGGACCAATAAGAAGGTGACAACAATGTCATGGTATCCTTGGTAGTAGTGCAGCTGGGAATTACGTTTCAGAACCCGGAGGATGATGTCAATTAGCTCTTCCTGAAGACCTTCCCTCTGCTCATCTGGCATACCTGAGAAAGTGCACCCAATATAAAATACAGTTGTTAATTTGTATAGGCTTTGGGTGTTCCACTGCATTAGTGACCTCATAAATATAAAATGCCGGGGTTGCAGCCATAGCAATTTCCCATAACCAATTCAGTCATAATTTGTTCAAGCTGACTGATACTGGTATGATTAACCAATGTAGACACAGTGCTTGTTGTATTATACTCCGCAGTCAAATAGAAGATAATCCGAGTAATGAATGGCAACATTCATTACTGGTTCACGGGCCAGTCAAACATGCCAGAAAATAATTAATGGGGGAAAAAAAATGCAGGATAAAAGCTAATTCTGCTGTGCTCTGAGTAATACAGTAATTAATATATTTGAAAAATGACAGAAAAATACAGAACAGTATATTAAATATGAGATTTTTTTTTAAATTCTACAGTTTTATTTTGAAGGCAGAACAATCTGACTTCCAACTGTGACTTCTTCACTGACAGATGTCACAGTTGAGCGCAGATCAAACTTTACTAAGATTCTCTTGATAGAAAAGCATTTTGGGTGCAGCTCCTTCAAGCGTAGTGTTACATCGATAGACCTTGACTCTACACCCTAAGTATTAATACTAATAGTAATATTAATGCTAGTGAGCTGGACTGGCAAAGGTTCTAGCAGTGCAGCGTGGAGAATACGGCTGCACCCTTTAGGAGCTCTTCTGGAATTTTGTCTGTGTGCCAAGTTGACTACGAGTAAAAGTAACAGTACGCTGCAGGAGGTAGAGCAGTGGCAAAGTTTTGACACTTGCATTAATCTGTAGGATAATCAATGTACATTTGCTTACAGAGGCAAACTGATGGCTTTATAAAAGAGAGGAACATCACTCAGTTTACTCAAAAATGTTGCACCGGTATTGAACTAAATATCAACAGCAATGTTTGTTTCTGATTTAAAGATGGTGAAAGAAAATCCCTTGATTTACAAACTGTTAGTGACAATACAGTATATTTAACATAATCACTTGATAAACACTCTATACTTGGTGCACCGCAGCTTGGTTGTGTGTGTGTGTGCGTGTGTGTCTGTTTCTGTAGGAAAACACACACAGCAGGGCTTCATGAAACAGCAGGTATGGGTTCAACTCACCAGGCGGAAACCGCCGCAGCGAGCGCTGGACATCCAGCAACACCTGGTTGTAGTCCTTGTTATTCTCCCGCTCCACCGTTTCTGGACAAGACACGCCACCATCAGCATTACCATACACTAGTTCAACACTGTACGTGGGAGAGCTTGCACCGGCTAAGACTCTCTATGTTAATATTTGTCATGTATAGTGGAAAAGGGGAGTGTTTGTGCCATGGCATGCAGATATCTATATGGTCTGTTTAAGCATTATGCGGCTGACATGATACCTGGCTCTTGATCCAAGACGTGAAGGGGGACGTTGAGAAGCCGAGGCCAGACCTGACAGCGTATCTCATCAGTCAGCAGTCCTCCTTCACTGATAGCCATCCTCCTCAAAGCTGCCACATCCACTGGACTCGCACTGAGGGCCTGTGTGATGTCCGCAACTTTCCTCTTCCGCCTGCTGTCCCAGTCTGAGACACACACACATAAGAAACCCCATTTTTAAAGCAGCTACTCAGCCTGTGTTTACTTTCACCTCCCAACAGTTAGTCAAGTGTTCACACCTTTGGTTAAGGTTATGCAGGGCTCGGCTATCCAGCTTCCAGCAGCAGACACAAGCTGTCGCGTCTGTAGCATTAAAATGAATGAGTTTTTTCCCTGCTGCAGTGCCATAAACACACGACTGCCCCTAATAATGAAGGCAGCTAGCAAACTTAGCGACACTCACCGTTGCCTCGCTTCCCATTCACGGGTGAAGAGGCACCGACACTTCTCGAGTTCTTCATTTTCTCTCTCCACTTCTCGATGTGTGTCCTCGCTAGATTGCATTACTTGCCATCCTCCTTCGTTTGGCTAACCAAGATTTAGCCCGATTTGTATCGTGGCCGCCGCCGACTGGAAGCTAGCTGTCTGATTAGCAAGGCCAGCCCTGATACAAACACGGCCCGTCAAGTGTTAGCTCTGCCCCGGTTCCGAAACTGCTGTTTTCAGCGACACGGCCATGGTTATTTAGACTGCGGACTTACTGGTTAACACACAGGAAAACACCGGTTAATGTACATGAGTGAGGTTAAAGTGGTGACACGGCTACATGTTTACACTGACGGAGGCGACCAATGGGGTGCAGCAGCTTTAGCTAGCCTCCCTACTCAGACACAATGATGACGTAGGGTCCAGATGATGGGAGGAGGTGAGGAGGAGGAGGAAGAAGAAGAAGAGGAGGAAGAGGAGGCTGTGTTTATCAAATGAGAAAGCAACCAAGTTCATTTGGTTATTCACCTCAATTATTTTCCATTTTTCTCCTATTTAACTGGGCTACTTAAGATACAATAAGATAATCTGCTGTAACCTGATACATTGTACATACAAATATTGTACTATGTTTTTGTTTTTGTTGCCAATTTGTATTTATTTTTTATTTTTTTAAGAAAGCAATGCCACCTAATGGGTGAGAAGCTGGCAAAAGGCATACAGGACCCCCTCCCCGGCTAATGAATTAATTGATTAGAATCAGGTGCTGGCAGTAGCTGCAAGACACCTTCGAGTTGTCAATCAAAAGCAACAAAAGAAACTAGAATTTAAAGAAACAAATATAAAGAAGTAGTGTTTAGAGGCAACAATATTTTATATGAATTGTGCTTGATTTTGTTTCTAATGACCGGTTTTATAATGTGACCGAGTTGTGTTTTCTCGAAACAAGAACAATCAAGATCAAGACATGTGAGAACTACATGTTCTAACTTGATGGCAAAGAGTTACTAATTAATGAAAACAAGGCAGGGCTTTTTTTTTTACTTCCCTGTATGTGCTGCAGCAGTAGTTAAACCTGAATTAGAAAACACGTCAATGCATCACCCTTTAATAATTCAAGTACGTTTTACTGATAATACTTTCATACTTTTATTGATCAAATAATTGTACTTTATATTTTCTTTTTCCACTGATATATGATGTAAAATATCTGAGCGCCTTTTTCCGGTATACCTCAAATACAGTACGATGACAAAACCCAGTATCCGGCCACACATGCACTGTAGCCTGCTGGTAATTATTGTGTGCATAGACGATAATCCTGTGTCTGTGAGTCACAGCCGAAACAAAGTGCACGCTGACTGATCGCTGTGGTGTGTTTGTTGCTTCTGGAGAAACGAAAACGAAAACGACGGAGCATTTAAATAAGGCAGCAGCTTCCTGAGCCGAGCACAGTGAGCAGCAGGAAACCTGAGACACAGACTGCCGACTGAGAAGGATAGATGGTGTAATAATAGCAAACAGGCCTGCCTTGCTTTGTAAAGCTTCATGTTGGTGGAAAGATTAATGTCAAGTGGATTTTAATCTTGGTAAGTTCTTTCTTTCTTTCTTTCTTTCTTTTCTTTATGTTGCGTTTTGGAAAGAGGGTGGAAGTTAAATGCAGCTGGCTAAATTACTGGAAAATAGTTTATGAATAAAATAGGACTGGGAATGATAAAAGAATGAGACTGATAATCAAAAATGTCCTGTCAGTCTAAGAAATGTATATAATTATTGTGGAGTACGTTGTATTATAACAAATAAAAGGCTTTGCAAATGTACTGCAGTATCATTTTATCTGTTACGCCTTAGGGTGTTTCAGCAGATCCGAGCCAACAGAGTTTGTGGTTAAAAGCTATCATCCGATTTCTGGTGAACAGAAACTACACCTACATGCAAATCCTTAATGCATCCAGTAGATGGCACACTCTTCATTTGGGTTAAGTCACTGCAATAGCAAACAAAGTACACTCTCTAAAAAAAACCTTGTAATAAAAGATCTATTTGAAATAAACATGTCACATAGTATGCCAACAATTAAAGTCCCAGAATAGTTCAAATCTAGTGTGCATCTATTCATTCCTATGGACCTTCAAATATGTATCAAACAAAAACTTTTATCTTTTAAAGGAAGGGACAGGCAAGCTTTCATTTCTCTTGAAACTTTAAACAATGAGATCATCCTTTTTATCTGACTCCAACCCTCCTCTGACCTTGCAAAATACTGATAACGCTGTTATTAAAGCAATTACCATAATAGTGAAAGTACGTCTTTTAAAAGGGGTTTTTATGGGCTCATACATACATTAAGTATCTTTCAAATTCTTGTGTAATCATGCTCAAATGTCTTTTCACTTACACTCTCTAATTTCTTGCCATTCAGAAATCAGCAGCGTTACCAACCTAAATTTTAACGACGACCACATGAAAAACCATGGAAAGACTCACGTTAATAACGGGGAGAAGAGGACAGCATAATGGTAATTACACAGTATGAGGCAATTCAGAAAACTACATTAATTTTCAACGTCTTAGTATATGAATGTCATTTTTTACCCCCCAGATACTGGCCAAAATGAAAATGCAGGTGGATGGAGAAGACGAGGAGGTGCAGATGCCAGAAGAAGAGCACAAAGTTGTGGGGGTGGTCAAGCTGAAAGGGAGGACACAGGTAGAGGAGGAGGAGGAGGAGGAGGAGTAGGTGATGGGATGCATGGGAGAGGCAGAGGAAGAGGAGGAGACCCAGGTAGAGGGGGTGAAAGAGGTGCAGCAAGAGAAGGCAGGGACGATGCAAGAGGTGAAGGGGCGCAATGGAGAGGTAGAGGAGGAAGAGGAGGAGG